TTAGCTGTGCAAGGAAAAAAGAAAAGAAGAAGAACGCCAAGAGTTTGTAAGAACAGAGAAGAAGCTGAGACACAAAGGATGACACACATTGCTGTTGAGAGGAATCGGAGGAAACTAATGAACGGGTATCTTGCCGTTTTGAGATCTCACATGCCTGAATCTTTTGTTCAAAGGGTTTGTTTCCAATTGTTTCCTATAACTTATATCTGTTCTCTTGCATGCCCTTTTCCTATAATGCCAGCTACATTTAAGTAATTGGTGATCATTAATCATGGAGAAGTTCTACTGATTGTTGTTTTTGCCAACTTTTTGTAGTAGAATTCGGTAAGTCTCCTAGTGGACGGTTCGCTAACGAACATTCAGACATTAAAAGAGCTTATTGTGAAATAGGAGCAAGCAAATTAGTTCGTCAACTAAAGAGGCCTAGTTGAAAAGTTTTTGCAGCTCAGAGTCTCTACATATCTCATATTCAAGCATGTATACATTTCATATCCCAGTCACGTGAAGCTGAAAATCTTGGCTCCACCACTGTAATTTGCTCATTCTTTTGCATAATTCCTTTATTTTCACGTGAGCATAAGCAATATTAGACTCTAAAGCAAGGGTTCAAGTGTGGTGCTGCTGGTGATTAATCTCAATTAATGTGATATTCAAGGTTAAACTTTGCGATTATCTCAGTCATCATGCGTGTTAATTATATATTACTTCCTACTTGCCTGCATGTGCTAATGACGCTCGTTAAACCTTTCTTAAAGTGCAGGGTGACCAGGCTTCCATAGTGGGTGGTGCCATAGTGTTCGTGAAGGAGTTAGAGCACCTTCTCCAATCCCTTGAAGCCAAAAAGCTCAAACTACATCAAGGACTAACTGGACCTGATTATGACATTGAAGATGCTACTGCAACCTCAGAGGTTCCACCACCACCCTTCGCACAGTTTTTTGTGTATCCTCAATACACTTGGTCTCAAATCCCTAACAAGTTTACGTCAAAAACCAAAGCATCCATAGCCGATATTGAGGTCAATTTGATTGAAACCCATGCAAATCTGCGGATTCTCTCAAGAAGAAGACCCAGGCAACTTTCAAAGCTAGTTGCTGGATTTCAAACACTTTACCTCACTGTCCTTCACATCAATGTGACCACCATGGACCCCTTGGTTCTATACTCAATCAGTGCCAAGGTATGTACAATGAATATATGTTGTGCTATCGTTTGCATAATGTTGCATACTTGTGTTTTTCTTCATTTTACTTTAATTTGGACCCCGACACAAAAGAAAAATAAATTCCGAACCCTACTCTTCTATTGTTTATGTAACTTTGGGGGCCATCTCTATCAATAATATTTTTAATGTAAGGATGTTTTATCTCATATTTTAGAAAAATGCAGTCACCTCATTGGTTAAATACTACGGGACATGTTACATGGGTCATGTATTTCGTTCAGAAAGCATGAGTAGCACTATAATTATGCAACTAGTATATGCTCCTAACAAATGACCCCACAATAATGAGATCGATGGCGAGGAAATCTGTCGCCATTTTATAAGCAATGGCCTTCAATTATAGCCATACGGGCCAGGGGGGAATGGGCAGGGTGAGTAAAGGCGACACTTCCTAGTATTTTTGGTGTTTTCTAAGTTCAGAAACTCATGTCCATTTGCCTAGAATTGCAGAAAAAGAAGCAGTTTTGGACTGAAATCTGAACATGCTTGATGCAGCTTGAAGAAGGATGCCATCTCACCTCGGTAGATGACATAGCAGGAGCTGTCCACCACATGCTTCGAATAATTGAGGAAGAAACTGCCCTATGTTGATCAGTCAAGTCATTTATCTATCTAAAATCACCATAATGCCACCCACTTTTGTCTCTTGTGGTGAAGTTCCAGGTCTTCCTTCTCGGGCTTTTCGGGGCATCTACAGTGTAGTTGGACACTTGTGCTTCGTAAGTTGTAATGTTTTTTTGTTTTTTTAACAGTTCATGAGGGCTAAAAGTGTATTTTCAAACAGAAAGGAAAATGGAAGGAGTGGGGTAATGGGATTTGAGAGTCTAGCCATGTTTGCAACAATCGGGCATGTGAAGGTATCTGTTTCAACGACTGAAAATGTGAAGCATATAACTCCTTTCTTTCTTTAACCACGATTTTAGGTTATTTTGTAAATTAATTGAAGTAATTTTTTTTATTTTTGGTTCAAATAAACGTTAGTTTATTGGAAATGACTTTTGACTTAAGTTAAAATTTATATTTTTTAATTTTTGGATTAGAATTTATACTAAATTTCTTGTTAAAATTATTTATGAAAATTAAATTTTGAATTATGATTTTAAATAGAAAAATCATACTTTAAAATTCATGTCAAGTAAACTCTTGTTTTGTAAATAAATGACTAGACCATCAAAGCAAATTTTGTTTTGTTTGTTTATTGGATATTAGTTTTCCTTTTTCCTCATTAATCATGGAATTTAAATATATTTTAATAAAAATAATAAAATTGATTGTTATGCCAATTAATTCTAAGTCCTATTGTTCACACTATAAATTGAAATTTTTCTCCAATGCAAGTTAATCTAACAATTGAGTGATCGAAGTTTTTGTTATTTATTATTATTATTATTGAAGCATATTCTAGTTAGAGGTGATTATTTTTTGTTTTGATTTTTATAAAAAAAAATTAACTAAAACTGATTTTTTAAAGAAATAAAATAAAAACTAGGTCAAATCAACTAGTTTCGGTTCGGTTCAATTATTTTGAAAAAAAAAATTAGTTCAAACCAGTTTGACTTGGTTTTTCTAATTTTTTTTATTTGACTTCAGTTTGGTTTGGTTTTTTTTTATTTTAGGTTTATAAAATTGAATCGAACCAGTTAATTTTTTAAAATTTTAATTTGTTTAATTTGATGTTTTTTCAGCTTGGTTTTTTTAGTTTCTTTTTTTATTTTCTTAATTTAATCAGTTTTTTGATTTTTTTGCCCACCCCTAATTCTAGTATAGAAACTTTAATTTCATTTGTAATGTCTAGAAAAGCAAAAGAAATACCTTATTAACTTATAGTTATAAAACCTTACTTGATAATTGATTTGGTAAAATAATTTGTTATAGATTTGGTCAATCAACTTGCATCGATTTAGATTTGGATTTAATTGTGTTTTTTAATTTCTAACACTTCTGATTTTAATTTTCACAATTGACAATCTTCTATTATAATGATATAATACATAAGAGATCCTAGAATTGCTATCTTGCCTCATTTATAAATGATATTAATACAGTATTAATGTTAATGATAAAATGTTTAACTCTTTTATTTTTTATTAATTGGTTTGTCTAGATCATAATTTGATTTAACAGGTGGTTCAGGTTTAATTTTTTTTTTTACTCTTATCAATTTTTAATTTTATTTAAATTAATTTAGCCATCAAGTTAACTCTTCTGATCAATCCAAATTTAATAACTATAAATTACCTAGCATAAATTCTCCTATAAAATGTTATTAATACATTATTAATGTTAATGATAAAATGTTTAACTCTTTTATTTTTTATTAATTGGTTTTTCTAGGTCATAATTTGATTTAACAGTGGTTCAGGTTTAATTTTTTTTTTTAACCCCATCGGCAGTGAAGCTATAGAGGCCGAGCTACATTACAGACCATACATAGGACCGAATGGAAAGCCCACTAGATCCAACGAAGGAACTAAAAAAGACCAGCTATGATCTTATCAAGAAGCTCCTTCCATGCCCCCTCCCCCGTCCCATCTCATTTACATAAGTACGGCAATTTAATTTGAATTTGATGCGACGTGGAAAGATAGGTGTTTTTTGTATTTTACGGACAATAGATAAATTGTAGATAATATTAAATTTAACTCGAAATTGATTGAGAATAATCTAAAATATATATTTATATTATATAAATATTTTTATAGAGTATTTAGATTATTCTTCATACAATACACACACACCCCCCCCTTAATATTAACATAAAACAAATAAATATAAATAATATTTATTATTTTATTATTTATTATATACATAAAATAAATAAATATACACCCCCCCTCAATATTAACATAAAATAAATAAATATAAATAATATTTATTATTTTATTATTTATTATATACATACATACTTTTTATATATTAATTGTTTTATTTATTATTAATTAATAGATAATAACCAACAAATACCTTTTGTCATCCTAGATTTACAGCAACAATACAAACCTCATCAGAACCCTAGCTCAGGCAATAAAAATATCGGCAAGGTTTCTCCTCTCTCTCTCTCTTATAATCTCATCCAAATTTTAAATTGATTTATACTAAGGAGGAGTTTGGAAATACAGGATAACTTGTATTTTAAAAAAAATTAAAAATATTTTAATATATTAATTTTAAAAATAAAAAAAATATTAGTCTGATACATTCTAAAATAAAAAACTTTTTAAAAAATAATATGGCAACAATTTTTTGGTTTTGAAAATAAACATAAGCCATTAAATATTAGAATGATGACCCAATGGCTGCTGATCTTTTTAAGCCATTTTCAAGTTGTTTTATTCCAAAAAAAAAAAAAACATGGGGAATAACATTTTTCATTCCCAAAATTCCTTCACCCGAATCTCGCTTGTATCAGGTGCATGGAACCAAAAGCAGAGGGAAAAGAAAGTTAGCTTCAGACCAGACAGTGGCTCTGCTACAGAGGACATCTTATTGTTACACCTTTGTCAAAATATTCCATTTTTCTCCCAACCCAATACTATTTTCTTCAATAAATCTTACATTTAATGAATAAGTGATTGCTATCGTTTCAATTAAACTGGCGATGCTGAGAGAATCTGGGAGGAGAAGAAAATTTTCTTGCAGCCCCTGCTACACGTTGCAGCCTTTCAAGCTGCCATGTATTGAGTTGCATTAAATATTTTTTTTTTAAATTAAGAGTCACAGTTCTGCTTGATGCAATAGACTGCAAAGGTAAGCAGGAGGGAATGGGAACTCTGTGTTACCAAATAGATGAAAACATCTGCATATCCCTCATGCAGAACAAACAAAATGCTGACAGAACAAAATTTGCGAGAAACATTGATATCCCTCATCAATTTTATATATAGAGGAACACAATTCTCACACTTACATAGCTTTATCATAACATTGATTAATGGAAATCATGACCGTCGATAATTCTTGTATTTCTTCATCATTCTAATAACAATTTCCTCTCTAAAAAAAAAAAAAAATCGGAGTTTCTCCGTTTAAACAGGACTAGCGGCATCACATACTCTTCCATGGCCGGTGGGAAAGAATCTTCCGCTTGAAAATGATCTCTTCATGGTAACGGGATTAAGCACACACTGCAAGACTCTTCTTCTGTTGCTAGACGTGAATCTGCTGTCTTCTGCTGAATGTTTTGATGATCCAACATCTCCTGAACGGTCTTCTACTCGAACGACTCCATCCTGATTCATGCGTAAAATATCAGCGACAGAAGCGTCGCATTGACAGGGATGATCCATTGAAACTGATCTCCTTATGCGTTGATACCCATCAATATCTCGCATCTCAATTATGGTATCTCTCTCTTCCAAGTTTCCCAAATCACTAAATACGCGCAACGGAGTCTTCGGATCCCCAGCAGGATTCTGCATCACTTGCTCATCTCTGGCAACCCTTTCCGTGCCTTGTGTAGCAGCCACATTGTCGTCGGATCCTTGGCTATTTTGCCAAGATTCATTGCCTTGAGGAGTTTCAGTCACTGGAGGAGGCAGTTGAGACGGGGAAGCACTAAAGAAAACGATGTTGGCACGACACAGTGGGCAATTCGAGTGAGAACGGAGCCATGTATCAATGCAAGGAACATGGAAAGCATGGCTGCACTTAGGCAAAAGCCTAATGCTCTCATCTTCTTGAAACTCGCTGAGACAAACTGAGCAATCTGTCCCGTCAATCAAACCATCTCCCTTTTTGTACTTGCATACTGTGATGGACCTTATAAGAGCCTCATCCAAGCCAGTTGTTGCAGCATGCCAAGGCTCATGGAGAGAGGGGTTGTGATCGCCCTCAAATTCCTCATTTTGGCCATGGTTTTCATCCCTTCTCCTTGCTGGATCATTGTTTCGACAGTATTTAGATATTATGGAGTAGTAAATTACTAAAAGGAAAACACTGAGCACTATGCCTATAATGGCAATGACAAGGGGAGAAATTTTTGGACTTGAATTGTCATCAAGGAATTCAAGGGGAGGTGGAGGAGGGAAAATGATGTAGCACCATTGTGGACAGTATAAGCTACAAAATCCTTGAGAACAGTCTTTATTGTTCACGTATGGAATCCATGTTTTTGGGGTGCCTAGTGATGCCATCACAAGCCTTACAAACTATAGGATTTTAAGCTATTAGCTGTTCTGACATGATGCACACACTCTAGAGTGAGAAGAAAATCGTTTGGACCATTTGTACTAGTCCAGACAAAATAACCTGAAAAACTCTTTTCACAACTGGGCGGAAGAAACAGTGATACAATAAAATTATGGTAAGAATTGATTTGAAAATAATTTCATAAAACCAACGATATTGAGATGCTCTGAGAAAGAAAAGGAAAAGAAAAACTATATAGAGATTACCTTAGAAGTGTATTTGTACAGGATAGCTGGAGAGTTTCTTATTAATAAATGATGAGATGCATATGAGCAAAATATTAATTATGAACTGATGTTGTATTATCTATCTAGGTGAGGTGAGGAGAAGACAGAACAACAAGAACATGGAGAGTTCGAGTAATAAGATTTTAAGAGACCACAGAGGAGAAGCCTGGAATTTGGGAGGAGAAGGGCTTTCATGGAAAGCAAAGTAAAGAGTGTTGATTAGAATTCTTTCTTTCCTTTCTCTTCTTTTTCTTGTTCTTTGCTCTCTTTTTTTGTGGGGGAGACAATGATTTGTTGACTAAGGAGGTCATGCTGGTTGGGGAATTCATTAAAGTAATCAATGCTTTTATTATTGTTCAAGACAGGTGCGGTATGGATGAGCATGTAGCATGGGAACTCCTGTGTGAAATCTCATTTGCAATATTTAGTTCAAGTCAAAATCTTAAACGTTAAATAAATTCTTAATATATATTATTTTTTATATTTATCTCAAATAAAAACTTTTTAAACTTGAATTTTATATATACTTATATTATTTTATATTTAATTTTTATCAAATAAATAAAATTAATAAAATTAAAACATTGATGGCTTCATCCTCAAAACTTAAATAACATATTAAAAAACCATTTTAATTTTATATCTTAAATTATTAAATAAAATTTTATTATTCTAAAAAATTCTATTTAAAGTAAGCAGCCAACAATTAACCCAGATTTTCCATTACAAATTGGCTGTCATATCAGGGACACCACGTCCAGTACCGCTTGTGAATTTTGCCAGTAAAGTTTAGTCCCATCGTTTCTCTTTCCCTCCTTGCAGTTGGCACCCAGCAAGGCCACAGAGAATTTCTCAGAGTGGAAGCTGATAGGATATTGTGATCACTATGATCCTTTTTCTGTTTCCTTTTTCCCCCTTTCTTGTCCCATGGATTTAGAAAATTGAGCTTTACTTGGATAGGTGAAATGATTTGTAGTGTACTAGTGTAGGCAGGCTTTCCCTTGGCGAGATATGAAAGAGGGAAAGGGGCATAATTCAAGAGAATAGAATCTTTGTGGGGAGACCGAGACATGGTTTTTCAATACACTGTAATGCTCCATTGTCTAATCTCAGAGCATCGAAGTGCTGCCTTGTGGACCCAAGCAAATGGTCTTTGAATTCCACTTGAGATGAGCATATATTCTCCCACCTGACTCGAGACCAACGTCTTTTTTCTCTTACAGTTCAACCGAGGTGACAAAGGCTTTCAGCAATAGCCAGGTCTAAGAAATCACAAGACAAGATTCAGCAACTAGTGCCTGTTGAGACTTGAGACACAGATTCATCGGCCATTTCTTCAAAAAGTACCAAGAAATCAATGTAAACTAACATGAAATTCAGTCCGTTCCTTGAGATAAAATGTCAGGGTAAAGATGCAGCAAACACTACTAGATATGCCATTGCATTAGCTCAGTTTCTAGTCAGTCGAACAAACTTTAATGAGTCATGTGTGAGAACCAAGAGCTCTCTTTCTCTCTAACCAAGCAAGCACCCCATAACCTAGGGGGACCTTTTCTCTTCTTTTCATTTTCACTTTCTCAGCGGTCTACGCACCCTTCTCCAAAATCACCCCCAATTCCACACCCTTAGTGGCCTAGAATTTACCTTATATACTTGCATGCTAATACTAGATTCTTAATCATCACAGCTAATTTTCAGTTTTCTATAAAGCACCACTCACACACACACACACACATCGTAACTTCCCATGGTGTCCATGAGCAATCAGAAACAAGCAAGGTATCTCAACAAATGTGGCTTCAGTGTCCTGTGTTCACTTTTGTAATAACAAAATGCCATGGAAAATGAAACCATCTCCTCTCTCTCTCCTCAACGTGTTCTGGATCATCAAGTGATCCACACAAAAATAAATCACGATGCTGACTAGGATCAAGATGGCATTAAACATCTCTAACCGGTAACCAACACGAACGAGGAATGATATTATTTAAATTGAAATTATTGAGCTTAGAAAAGATCATCATTGAAGTTGACTGAAAAGGTTTTTAAAGAGTCGTCTGTGAACCAAGCACTCTCCCTGACCTACCAACTGCCAACAACCCTGAACTTAATGGACTGCATTTCTCTTCTTTATCACATCCTCGGTAATCTCTCCCCTCTCCACAGCCACTCCATCTCTTCACCTTTAATAGCCCATAATAGTCTTTAATTAATGCTTCAGACTACTCAAATTAAGACTGGATTGATGCCCACAAGCTAACAACTAGAAGATACATACCTCCACAGAGGTTGATTCTATCTCTCGACCATTTATTTATTTATTTATTTTCTTTGATGTGCCCTGATCTTCAAGTAATTAAACAACGAAAATTAGCTACCAACTGCATCAAGATAAGCTTGAATCATATAGGGGGTAGTCAAGTGATAAGGACTTGGGATCAAGGAGTTTGCTCTCTCTGTGATCTCAGGTTCAAATAATTGATTGCTCATATAATGGTCACTGGAGGTTTACATGGTCGTTAACTTCAGGATCTGTAGAATTAATCATGATACGCACAAACGGGTCCGGATACCCATATTAATCTAAAACAAGGTTTACATGGTCGTTAACTTCAGGATTTGTAAAATTAATCGTGGTACGCGCAAACTGGCCCGGACACCCATATTAATCTAAAAAAAATAAGCTTGAACCTCTACTGCGCGAAGTCCATCTTGAGATGGAGCACAAGATTCCAAATCAACTTGACGAAAAAGAAAATGATTTTAAAATATTAATATTGAAATCATAGCATAAATAGAATCAGAAGGATGTAAATGATCATAACAGATATGAAACCATAACAAGAACGATTCTTGCATATTATCATACCAAGAAAAGGTTCGATGGTCTTTTTGTTATATCATACAGCTTATAAAAATCAGATGAATAAAGCATAATCATGAAAGTCTGATGACTTTGCAGCCTAGAACCGAATAACAGAGAAGGCTATGAAGCAATCAACTGCCATAGGAACACTGATTCAAATGCAAACAAATAATGACGATAATCTCAAGCTCCGGTGCGCAGTCAGAATCCAATCACAGCAAGTTAGCAGCAAAGGATGACATATTTAAAAGCAAATGCTTGACAACAGCAGGAAACCCATAACAGCACTCCTAGTATCCAGGAGCTAGATGAATGCCGTACGGACATACTTTATCAAGTATGAATTGTTGAAACAGCTTTTACCCGCCTATCATCAAATCTTTCTCCTTTTCCTTTTTCTTGTTAAAATTCTAAACTACGACCTAAGCTAATCACACCCCTACCTCTTAAAACTATATATATATGTTTTCTATTGTGCTCTTTTTATTAATTAAGAGTATTATAAATAATAGTGTGTATATAAAAAAAATTATTTGAAAATAGGTCAAAGTTGTAAATTAAGAGTTATAGTCATTAAAAGTAGATCACTTAAATATGCAAGTTTTAGGTTTATAAGGACAAAAAAAAAAAATAAGTCCACTCATTAATTGAAGAGTACAATTTGCCCCAAATATTTTATGGCTTTAGATTTTATTGTTTCTATTTAATATGTTACCAAAGAGTTTAGTGTGTGTTTTTAATAATTCTTAAGAATTTTTATAAATTTATGAAAAATAATTTCTAATTACTGAAATTTAGTAATTAATAACTGGTATTTATTTTGATTCTAAATGTGTCAATATACTATTATTAATTGATTTTTATATAGAATTTGAATGTGTACAAGGTGTTTCATAAAAAACTTAATTTCTATATGAAATTGACTTGTTTACTTGATAATGATTTTCTAAAAATAGCTACAGTTTCATTGTAATTATGCTTTAGAATACTGCTTTACTTGAAATTTTAAAAAGAAAAATTATTGGCCTTTTCTTATTAGATTTCATAAAGTTATTAATTTTAGACTATAATTATCATAAGATGTACATAATTATTTTTAGTATTTAATTATTAAAAATAAATATTTTGTAAGTAATACAGTGGATTGAAATAACATGGTTATGGTGTTAGGTGATTTTTGGTAGGTGTTTTATGGTAATTTAAGCTAGTAATATATTTAATTTTGATTAAACTATAAATTAAAAAAAAATTCATATATTGCATTGAGTATTAGTAAATATATAATTTATAGTGATTATTATTGCTAGGTTGTTAGGAGTGCTTAGTTGTCTCTAAGTTAATCTTGAATTTGCATATCAAATAAGGAATTTTTTTTATCTATATGGTTAGTTATTTTGAGTTGGAAAATATATATTATGTATCAAATGATTTTTTTATTAAAATATTTATTTTTCATGAATTAAATGGACCATGCATAATAAATGATTTGTAAATAATATAAGTGTTTTGTAAAAGTATGTATATGATTTTAAAAGTATTTTAAATATGTTTTATTTTCGTGAATCCATTTATGAATTGAATATGATTTTGATTGATTATGCTTTGAATATGATTTTTTAGGGTAAAATATTAGTATTCATAAACATATTTATTTAAAATTTGATGGCTAGTCATAGGGTGACTAAAGTAAATATAATCCTTTGACTTTAAAATAAGTATACAATCCATGTTTGAGCTCAAAATGATTGATTTGAATTATTTAAGTTTGTAAATGATTTTATAAGTTTACTTTTGTTCTTCTAAAACATTATTAAGTTTTTGTATATTAAATAAATTGATTGTAAATATATTAGTAAGTTTTGACATGGTTGATCCTGCTAAGAAGATGAAACATTATTTATTAAGTGTGTGATATTCACCCTTACCCATGTTCATCTTCTCTATTTTTTTTCTAGATGGTTTGAAGAAGGTTTATAATATCAAGTGGATAGTTCAAAAGTTTATAGTTGATTTATAAACTTAAATATTTCAATAATATATCAATTTATGATCTTAAACTTATAGTGTATTTGATTTTATTTGACTTTAAAGTTATGATATTTGATATGATATAATTTATGTTAAGTTTAATTAGTTAATTATTCAATATATTTTTTTTAACAATGTTTTTTTATATATAATTTCTTAATTAGAGTTAAGATATACATAAGTGCATGAAGAAGGTATCATTTGCGTTTTAGAACCCATTTATTTTTGTGTTTTAAATGTTTTTTCAAGAAAATTGAATTTTTTTAGATGATTTTGATATACCGATATCAAAAATAAATTTTAAATATATATTATTTTAATATATCTCAAAATAAAAAACTATTGAAAAAACAATCACTATTTCGTAATAATAAAAGGGGTCTTAATAACAGGCTCCAAGAGATCAAAACAAAGCTCCAGCTTGCAAAGAGAAGCATTCTTCCTCGTTTACTCAATCATGGGTAGTTTTAACAGGTATTTTATTTCTAACATATAAGCATGATTGATCATCTCATATAGGTGTCACAAAATTAAAGAAATGGAAAGGGGAAAGTAGAAAAAAAGATGAACATTGTAGAAGCACTCAAGGTCATGGTTCCACCCAAAACAAAAAATAGAGAAGCAATTCAGATAAAAGAGTGGTGGAAAGGAACTTCAAAATACTTTTTATTTAAAAATATATTGAGATAATAATTTTTATTTAAACACTGGATTTGATTTGGCAATATAAAAAGTGGAGGGTACATTGTGTGATTCTTTTTGGTCTTTGGACTTGCAAGACACTAACCTGGGCCACTGGCTAGAGTTAAGGCGTTTGTGTGGTTGAGAGATGGAAAACGACTCCCATGGTGGGCGGGCCCAGAGGATGTAAGCCACGACATTCCCTGAGCCCACACGGTGAATCCATACATGAATCAGGCGTAGATATTTTTATTTTTTTATAAAAAAACTTGAATATAAAAGTTTATTCAATTTATTTATGCAATTTTAAAAAATTATATTTATTTATAAAAAAACTTGAATATAAAAGTTTTTTCAATTTATTTATGCAATTTTAAAAAACTATATTTAAATAATATATATATATATAATCAAAAAAATTAAAAATTATTCACGTATAAATAAATAAAAAATAATCAACTACACCTAAAAATAAAATTTGAAAAATCAATATATATATAAATCAAAATATTTAACTTTGAAAAAACAGATTTATCCTGTTTTCTAAATTTATTAATTAAAATATATTTTATTTAAATAAATAAAAATATAAATATAAATAAAAATTAAATTAATTGAATAAAATAAAAAAATTATGCAACGCTGCACATATTATAAATATTATCTAAAAATATATATTTTTTATTTTCAAAAATAAAATTCATTCATACAAAAGATAAAAAAAAATTATAAAAGAATCAGAAATTTTTTTTATATTTCAATGTATAACTAAAAAAATAATTATCATTTAAAAAAAACTTTCTAAATAAAATAAAAAAAATATGTACTAATTTAAATATAAATAGAAAAACAGAAAAAAACCAACTAAAAATAATTAATTAAAAATCTTTTAAAAAAAAATATCAAAATCATGTGTTGCGCTAGACCTAGTTCATTTTATCAAGGCCTACATACAAGCTTGTCCTAGCAAGCCCGCGTGATTGATTCTTAAATTTTTATGATTTGCAACCAAATTTTTATTTTTAAAAAATATCAAACAACACATAACTTAATTTGTTTAAATTTAGTAGATCAAGGATTAAGATTTTTTACTGGAAAACTTGTTTTTCAACTATTTTTTTATCCAAAATACCTATAAAACATTATAAAAACCATGATAAAAATATTCAAAACCTCAAAAAACAACCCCTAAAAACCAAAATTAATCTAAACCTAAAAATTAACTTGAACTTAAATTTGTTTATTCACAATTTTTTTTTTAAAAAAAACACATAATATAAATTCTTTTTATTAAATAGAACAATTTAACACAAATATCATTTGTTTTAATTATCTAAATCAGTGTCAACAACACTTTTCTCTCTATACCATCAAAATTAAATAACCTCTCTTTTCTTTTTCAAGCATGGATTAAAAAATAAAAAAAAAATAAATTAAAAAATAAAAAAATTAAATTTTTATATCAAAATTAAATTGAAAAAATAGAGATACTGAAATTGTATAATTTACTTGATTTTTAAAATTCAAGCATTAAAATATATCTTTTGCGAAACTTATAATATGCCACTCATGTTCCACTCATGTTTGACATCATTTTCATTTTAGTCTTTCTTTTAATTTTATCATTTAATTAATTGATATTGATTTCCAATTACGACTAAATTAGTCACCAAAAATAAATGTTTCCTTGTGAATCAAATTGAAAAAATAAATGTTTCTTTGTGAATCAAATTGAAAAAACATAAAGCACACTCCATCTATGTGAGAAAATAAATAGTAAAGCCTTGCACAGTAAAAAACCCACACCCTTTTTTTGTGAATACTTAGCAAGTATAAAAAATAATGTCAGTCATTTAACATGTTAAATAATAATAGAAGAAAACGCAAAACATTCAGCAGACTGAGAAGACCTTCCATCACTTACATTCATGGACATCATTACGAGTCCTCTTCCTGCTATACTTGTACGTTAATCAACAATCCAAATAAGATCAGGATCTATCTCTCTTCAAGCTGTACCACAGAAGTTTCTTCCTCTTTCTTTTCAGTTCCAGATTCATCAGCCTTGTCTTCACTGAACTTTAGACGAATGGGCCGACCCATTAGTTCCTACAAGACAAATATCGAAAAGATCATATATCTGTCCCTGATGATTAACCAGCCTTCTGATATGTAGCCAAAGAAGAAGAAGAAGAAGAAAGTAAACATATTGATGCACAAGCAAAAATGCAAATGTAAATCTCAATAAGATACAAATTATGCTTAGATGGAAATAAAAACTTCACTTTCTACAACGTGGTAAATGGACCTTTGGCTCGATAATCCCTGAAGACATGCAAACCACCATCTCTGCATATCCAGGTATAAGCTGGCTTAGCTTAAAGACCATGAGTATGTCAGTCAAGGCATCATTTGCACCAGTTGGTATTGAAACTCAAGATCACACCGCATGAAACACATCTCCACGGCCCCTACCACTTGAATAACCAAGATTTGAAAACAAATTTTCCAGCCCGTCCTTATTCAACACCACTAAGAAACATTAATTCTTTCACTTTCCCAATTAGCTTAATGGTTTCTGATTGAATTATACTTAGTGAAATATATAGTTCCAAAGCACAAAAGGGTAAACAATTAACAACCATGAGTAACACCAGACCAGGAAATTTCAGGACATTTTTTTTTCTTGTCCTAAGGTTAGAAATGATAATTGATAAACTTACATTATTTTCATTGCCTTCATACTTGATTAAAAAAATAGAAAAGGAAAACTTCCAGAAGATGCACAGAAACACATGAATATGTTGGAAACAGTAATCTAAGAAGTCGAGAAAAGTAATAAAACCTGACAGATCTTTGCAAATAAATAAGAACAAGGAAACGTGAGCTGAAAAAATGATGAATGAGTACCACCCCCTCCCACATTTCAAAGAATCCAAACCATATAAGATCTATAAACATCATACATGAAAGAAAGAACCATTCTTCAAAGCAACAACAAAAACAAGTACTACAGTAGCTCAAGCAAGTGACTGGCATCTAAAGTAGTCAAGCTAAAACTATATTAACTTAACACATCCAGCCAATTGATATGACTAACTAGTATTTTGGCAAAAGAAAAAAGTTAAATGTGAAATGCTAACAGCATATTTACGTCCTACCTTTCCACTGAAAGCAGAAATAGCAGCCACAGCTTCCTCCCTCGTGGCAAATGACACAAACCCATACCCAGAAGATCTTCCTGCAGGGCCATCAAACACGACCCTACTTGAAACTGGGTTACAATTAGTGGAGAAAAATTCTCTCAAATGACTACCTCTCACTTTCCATGCAAGATTAGAAATATAAAGCTTATGGCGTGTCTCTCCTGCAGGGATATCTGCAGGAGTGCCTGGAAGGCGTGGAGGAGGTCTCCTGAGTCGCTTTGCAAATTCCACCCTGATAATCCTCCCTGACACTTCCTGCAACAGAACAAATCCTCAAAATCAAAAACAAGTCTCTGGAAATATCCAATATAATATGGAAAATGGTAATTAAGTTGTACACTATTTATGATAACCTACAGTGAAACGGTGTTGAATATTTTCCAAAGTCGTCAAACTAGAATTGCAAGGATTGGGAAGGCAAAAACAATGTACAATAGAGAGATGGTGAAAGAGAAGGAAATCGACACAAAAGCTACTCAAGAACCAAGACATTCATAGATAACCATAACTCCCCAAAGCTTCAGGACACTAAGCTTTAAAACATTTTGACTGTCAGCAAGAAAACAACTCTCTCCTAACCATGCAGGTGGGTGAGTTTGGCATTACTCCAACGGATTAGTCAAGCCAGATGGTCTGGATCCCTACTTCATTTTTTTCAATAAAATGAAAAACTCTCTGAATCCAATAAAGCTACTGAAACCTCAAAAATAAGCAGAGGACACTGGCCATAAAGAATTTAAGTAGCTCCATTAAACAATGAAGATAGAAGTTTCTCTTAAATTAGAGCACACCGGCCGCAGTCCAATAGATTCTCATACTTTAGCATTCCTCCCAACATTAAAATAACTCAACAGAAAACTTAATTGATAGAAATGAATAAGGAAAAAGTATCATCCTATTCCCTTAAAAGGGAAACTCATTTGAACCTGTCAACTAGAAGAAAAGTTATGTAATTTTGATTAAGAAACCGACTACCGGAAAATTACACCAAGAATGCAACGCATATCATGATAACACTAAACAAAAGACCGTCTCTCAAGCTCCATCTGAAGTTAGGAAATCAAATCGCAAACAGAAAACAAATAATAACAACTGAAAAAAAGAAAAGAAAAGAAAGACACACAAAAGGAAAGCAAAGAAAAGGGACATACAAGAGAATTGAACTTATCAATAGCAGCCTGAGCTTCCTCACCAGTAGTCATTGTCACAAAAGCAAATCCCCTACTTCTCCCATTCTTTTGCTTTATAATCTGCATTTCAACACATAAAAAACAAAAGCCGCATTGGAAAATCACTTAGATCAACAGATAAAGACAGAAACTTTGGAATGAAATTAAAGAACCTCAACATCTGATACAGTCCCACATTGGCCAAAAAGGTCCTTGATATCAGCAACAGAGAAAGACCAAGGCAAATTAACCACAAAAAGCTTTCTTTTTAGGTTTGCTTCCTGGATTTCCTCTTCCTCTGGTGTCATCTCCACCGTTACTTCTTGTACAGTGGAGCATAGTTGAAAGCAGAGGCTTTTACTTCTTGGGTGGTTTTGGGTGAGGGAAGGCTGAGGGAAATTGTGGGAAATGAGAGGCGTAGGATTGGAAACGTGGAGGTTTATAGAGAGTGGTAGTGGTTTGGGAGATAGGAGGAATCTGGAGTAAGAAGGATGATGGGTTGAGAAGAAGGAGAGTGTTGCAGCTTCTAATATCGATGCCGCCATTGCGAAGGTTAAGATGATGATAATAAAAACATAACAACATTTTAGATGGGTGAGGGAGAAGATAAGAGAAAAGGAAAATATTATTTGTTTTTACTTTGTGGATAATGTGACGATGGTGACGTCTACTCTACTCTGTTTTTCGCTCGGGGTGCTATTTCGATATTTTGAGAGATTGTTATAATTGTTTTTTAAAATATTTTTTTATTTAAAAATATATTAAAATAATAATTTTTATTGTTAAAAAATATTTTTAATATTAACACAATAAAATCATTTAAAAACACCCAAAAATTAATTTAAAATAAAAAATAAAAATTTTCAAATTTTTTTAAAAATATATTTAAAATATAAAATCAAACCGGATTTTTCTTTAATCTTAACATAAATGTTTCATATTTAGTTTAACCTAAAGTATTGCTCATGGATCAAACTTAAAGTTAGAGAATAAATTATTGCTAGGACTTGGGTGTGTTTAATTTGTTCTATCTTTTGTTATTGGATTTTTGCCTATTTTGTTAAATGGATAGCTTTATCAAGTGATCTTCCGAGAGAGAGACTGTGGAAGAGGAAGACTAGATATTGCAAGCGACTACAGCACCCTGATATGAAAAGAAGATCGATAATGGTGGTTGCAATTTTGGAATGAAAGACCGATTTTTTAAGAATTGATTGACGGTTTTTTGTTTTTGCGTTTTATTTAAAAAAATTAAAACTTTTTTATTTTTTTATGTAGTTTCAAATTATGTTAAATTATTACAATGAGATGAAATAATCTATATGAATTATGAGTTAACTTTCTTTTCATTATGGTCTAACCGTCGAAGTGGAGTGTTCTAGAAGAAACAAGAAGAAGAATTTAAAAACATAATGATCCGATCAACAGACTTGAAAGCTTAAGAAAAAACGATCAAGGGAGTGCTAATTTTTAGTTTTGTTTCCAGGTTTGTCTGTGAGCCAATTGTACTTCGATATACTTAAAGAGACATTGATTGTACTTGAGGCTCTCTGTAATTTACCCATCTAGTTACTTGTTTAGTTGAAAAGTTGAGAAGGAACTTTCTAACTGTCCTTTTATATCCTTAAACGTTTTTATTTTAAAAATATATTAATTTTTTAAAAAATTTAATATGAAAACATCAAAATTATTAAAAAAATAATTTAATATTTTTTAAAGATAGTATATTCTTAGATAATATTTGACATTGTGGTTTCAAAATATTTTTTATTTTTTAAAATTAATATATAAGAAATTTAAAATATAAAAAATAATAACATAGCCATATAAACAAACAAAATATTAAAAAACTCGGAGACGGTTTCCTAACGCTTGGTGACAGTAGACATACAGATGCAGTGCTGAAGATATCTTTTTAGGCTTTGATGGTTAGATCTAGTGAAAAGCTTTTGATTGGATCGATCTTTTAGGCCCAGGTAGAAAGACTATCCATTCTCCTCGAGTGAATAATTTTATAATTCTCATTTATTTTAGTTAAAACTATAATTTTAGTGCAAGATATCATGAATATAAAAATTAATATTTTATTTAAAGGGTATTTTAGATATTAATATAAAATTATTAATGAACTCTCAAGCCTCACCCCAGCTGTTTAAATCTTGAAATTAAAATGCTTCTTTTAATAGTTTTACATGCGTACCAAATAACTTGATAAAAATTGAGTGATATATAATATTTATATTATTTGATCCGATTCAATTTATTTATACTATTTGCATTAGTCAATTAATTGAGTTGATGTTGTAAATATAAATTATTTTTTATATTTTATACTATGTTCTGAGCTAATTTAATGAGCCTAATCTTAGTTCAAAATAAGTTTTACCCATAAAAAATTTAGTAATAGAAGTATAATTTATAATATTTATAAAAAAATAGCTAACCATAATATATCCATAATTTATAAAATATAAAAAATGTGGTTGGATAAAATTATAGTTATAAACCTGATCCAATTATATTGAAGAATACGTTGCTTCGATTATAGTTGCGTCCAACTAATTTAATTCTGTTTTCTTTTCTTCCCTCCCTATCTTACACACGGCATCCCTTTTCAAAAAGCTTCGCAAAGCTCAAAAAAATGTACATTTTGAAAATTAGTGGAGCTTGCTTTGTCGTCATGGATCCAAGGCAAGGAATCAGAGAAAGGTGGGCCACATGACTTAAAGCAGGCTCTGTAGTAGCTTATTTTCAACATCCATCGATCGTACTGCACTATTTCTTTTGTCCTGATCATTATTTGAAACCCAAGAAGAAACAAAATCACTACTGAGAATCCTCCCACGCTAGAATGGCACTGAGCAGTAATGTTATTGGTGCTATCAACTTTGTTGCCATGCTTCTCTCCATTCCGATTATAGGTGCTGGGATCTGGCTAGCAATGGAACCAGACAACTCTTGTGTCAAGATTCTGCAATGGCCTGTCATTATTTTGGGAATACTGATCTTAATAGTAGCTCTTGCAGGCTTCGTAGGAGCTTTTTGGAGAATCCCATGGCTCCTTATTTCTTATCTCATTGCCATGCTCATCCTTATAATATTGCTTGCATGTCTAGTGGTTTTCATCTACATGGTCACTGCTAGGGGTTCGGGTCACCTTGAACCCAGCAGAGCCTACTTGGAGTATCATCTTGATGACTTTTCAGGTTGGCTTCGCCGGAGGGTTCAGAGTTCATATAAGTGGGATCGGATAAGAGGCTGCCTTAGCTCCACCAATATGTGTGCTGAGTTGAACCAGAGTTATCGCATGGCTCAAGATTTCTTCAACGCTCATATTAGCCCCTTGCAGGTTACTGAATCTTTTTCTTGCTTTCATTCTTCGTCCCCCCCATTTTTACACCTTTACAATTGATTTAGAAGAAAGATGCCTTTCAATGGCATTGTTCTTTCCATGTGGCGGATGCGAATTTCATTTTTCTTAGAGAAATTAAAGCTGGAAAAACAAAATAAATTATTATAATTTAAGAAATGAAAACGATCCTCTTTTTTCCCCAAACTACTTTTTTTTCTTTCTTTCTAGCATCTACCTAGAAAATTAATAGAATAATAGGCGATATCATCTTCTTCGAATAGATCCACAAAAATCATAATACAATCAAAACACGTCAAGCGTGAAGTAATGGAAATTTCTTTGGTCTTTTCTTCATCAATATAAAGAAACGGAGGGAATAGTTGAAGGGCTCGAGGACAGTTCCTGCTTCTTGTCCCCGCCCCAACACATATTTAATATCACTCATATAATTTTCTCTCTTATTTTCAAAATTGTAAATTTACTCCTGAAATGTTAATATACTAAACTTAATTATGAAGTTCCAAAAGTTTATTTCGAAACAAATAGCGTTTGTTTCAGTTACTCTAAAGAAAGAATAACCTTTATCTACAGCTAGCGTGTGAAGCATAGAATAATAAAGTTGATTAGATTCTCCTCTACCATGCGATATCTTCTTTATGCCTTATCATTATTTTTATTTTTTTTCTTTTGCTTTGTTATCGTTTACAGTCAGGATGCTGTAAGCCCCCAACCCAATGTGGGTATACATTTGTGAATCCAACGTATTGGATTAGTCCCATTAACAACGCTGCAGATATGGACTGCCTGCAATGGAACAATGACCAAAATCAACTTTGCTACAATTGCGATTCATGCAAGGCCGGGTTGCTGGCTAATTTGAAAGAGGAATGGAGAAGGGCAGATATCATATTGCTCATTACTCTTGTTGCCTTAATATGCATATACTTGGTAGGCTGTTGTGCCTTCAGGAATGCCAAGACAGAAGATTTATTCCGCAGATACAAGCAAGGTTATACATAGAAGTTAGAACCAAAGTAATTGGAGACTGCCGTTGTAATGTTTGCTGGTTCGTACGTTGTTTTTGCTAATTCTATGAGTTTCGTGTAAGAAGATTATATAATTTCCTGATTAAAGTGTGTGCTGTTTTGGGGTTTCGATGTGCTTCGATCCTAGTGAAGAAATCCGAGTAAAGATGTTGATAGCAGCGCGCGATTAGCGGTGGGCACCGAAAGTTGATTGCAGTGTGCTGCCAATTACAATACAATAATGGCATTGAATTCCAGTAAGGTGACTTTTGAGGGAAGGTTTCAGGGTCTCAGCCCCTGCAACCATGTCCCATTGTCAGCTGGAGTTTGACAAAAAATCACCCTATGTTTCCCTTTTATCGACGAAGTTTGAAGTGGGTCATAACCCATTTGCATTGGTTCATGCCACAGACCTCTGTAGCATCATGCTCCCGTCTGCCGGTCGAAGATTACAAACTGATTTATTTTGGTTTCTGTTTCTTCTTCCCTCTTTCATTCCCATTGGCGCTATCATTGTATGTTAACAAAAAGGGAGATTGATACGTGATGGTTTTTAGAAAAAAATAATAAAACAATTGTTTTCTTAATTTTCTTTTTATCTAGGCTAAAAAACTAAAAATCAAATATCATGCTTAATAGTTTTATTTTTCATATTTTATTCAGAATTTTATTGTTTTTTCTTTATTTTCAAGTCTTCTAGTTTGTGTAGGTTAATTTTAGAATTTATTTAAGAAGTTATAAACTTTTTAGAAAGTAGAATAATACCCGAATAAAAAATATTTACTCATAACAATTTGAGTTGGGTTTCTATGTAATTTATTTTTCAGTATAATTTTGTATTTTTATACTTGTTGTTCTATTATTTTTGTAAGTGTGCAATTATTAAATATAAAACTATTTCTCAAAATTGACCAGTACAAATATAATGTTAAAATTTATCAAATTATTTAAGAGCCCATCATTTCATTCATGTAAATCATATTTTGCATTCCTCTTCCTAGCTCACATGACATCCTCCTCCTTCATGGTTTAATGTGTGTGTGTCTATATATATATATATATATATATATATATATATGCTTAAAGTAATATTAAAACCTCCCGTACATTAATCACATCATACACTCTTCCATGTAGTGTAATATATATTAGTCTTTATTTCATTACTTGTAAATAAAAAGTATATAATATGTTCAATAACAAAGTATATTTCTGTC